CAAAGTAAGGACATCGGCTAAAGAGTGGTTGGCTGGATTAAACCAATTCTTTGTACTCTTTAGCCGAAGTAAGGACATCGGCTAAAGAGTGGTTGGCTGGAAAAAACCAACTTAGAGGATGGCTGGATTAAACCCTTATTACTCTTCAACCGAAGTAAGGATATCGGCTAAAGAGTGGTTGGCTAGTAAGCTCAGTCAGATTGCTCAGCTGAGACCGGAATAAAGTATCTCGGCCAAAAAATATTATGTTTCGTTCAAGTTACAGTTAGAAAGCAAGCACAAATCGGAAAGTAAACCGAGATAACAGTTGGAGCAAAAGAATTCATCGAAGAATTCATCGAAAAACTCATTACAAGTGCAAGCATACAGATCAAAACCGGAATAAGTGTCGAATACAAAAGATGATTTTCATTGATCAAATTCAAAGCAAAATACAAAGAAGGGGCCTCAGCCCGGTTACAAGACCAAAAGGAAAGAAGAAAATACTGAAAACAAGCAAATAAGAAAAGTAAGTACAGAATCAATTGAACAGATCATCAAGATCAGCATCAATGTCAACACGAAGACCGGTTTCGGGCGGTAGATCGGTCGCGGTTGGTAGCTCGGTGTCTATTGCAAGCACGTTTTCAACCGTCAGGTCTTCAACCGTTGGCTCCAACCGAACTGATTGATCGTTGGCCTGATCATTGACGACCGGGGTATTATTGGTCTCGGTTTCTTCATCATCATCTGAACCCTCAAGAAACTGTTGTTGGACAGATGTAGCGTACTCCGCCAGCGAGCTCGGTATGAAGTACTGAGGAGGATTGTAGACCTCGGTCTCAGGTTCACAACCGAGCTGCCCCACGGCTGCCCTTCAACCGCATTTAAAGAAAAGATCTTTAGCGGCCTCACATTGTCGCATGTAGAGGGCCTCCCCCTCCTTGAAGCCTTTAGCATTTGCATCATTCACCTTCTTCGATAGCTCGGCAATCTCTGCATTTTTCTTTCTTTCGAGCTTGACTAGCTCGCGAAGGTACTTATCCTTCATCACGGTCAACGCCTTCTGTTTATCAGCATTAGCCGAGGTAACTAGTCCAGTTAGACGAGCTACCTCGGCCTCTAGCTCGGCTGTCTTCTGTTTGGATTCTTTTAGCTCGGTGTTTTTTTCTTCAACTTCGGCCATGGCTTGCCTTGCTATTTTGCGAAGCTCCAACATACGCTTATAGGCGATGTGGCTCTTCTGCATGGCCTGCACAAGAAGGAAAGACTTGTAATCAAGCCGAGATAAAAGTTGTGCAAATTAAAAAGGTTAACAGAAGATGCTACTTACAAGCACCATGGATTTGGTGGCTGAGTGGATGGCCTTTAGCTCGGACAAATTTTTGTGATGTTCCATGTCTACTGGAAGGCAGACACTCTTGGCAAGGTTAAACGCCATTAAGTGATCTTTCTCAGTGACCACTGAGTCTGTGTCTTGTATATCTCGGTTTTGAAATGTAAGTTTGGGTGCCCACTTGGAGGAGCTAGCCCGGTCAGAGCCCTCCGGTTGGTTTTGGGGTTGGTTTTGGTTGAGAGGGCTCAGTGGAAGCATGGTTTCGTCCTCATCGACAAGGCGTTGCTCGGTTTGGGTAGTCCGGGCGCGTTTGCTTGGGCGTGATGAAGAAGGTTGTTGAGATGGAAGGGCCACCACTGTTTCCTAAGTCTGGTTGGATGGTGGTACTTCGGCTCGGTTGGTTTCGGTTAAGAGGGCCTTCACTCTATTCCGCTTTGCCATTTCTTCTTCTTCGGTAGTGCGAACCAGCTTAATTTGTGGTAAGTTGGGGTCCGGTTCGGGAGAGGCTTCCAGTAAGAAGTTTGTTACTCTGGCTTTACGTCGGCCGCTGTATCTATACGTCGGTTTAAAATTCAGTAGCTTGGCCCAACTTCTTTCGGAATACCTAAGTGCGGCGCGAAGTGTGTTTAGGTTGGGGTAACTATACAGTGACTTGAGATGGGCTGAATCTACATAAAAAAGACAACTGTCAGTTCGGTTAAGGAACAGAATACCAAAACAAAACAGAAGCATGCAAAAAAACCGAGGTAATTATACCGGGGGTCCCTTTATTCCAGTTTATTCGGTCACCAGGAATCTGGGCTTCTTGGTCTTTGAAATTCCCAGATACCCAGAAAAAATCATCATCATTCAAGTCTTTGTCCGGTGTATCCTGTATTATTTTCTCTCAGTGGCGGAGTATTCTTAGATAATAGACCCAGCCATCTTCTTTTGATCCTATGGAGTATTGGTGGAACAGTTCGGCTAAGCCGAGGTTAATACCAGCCCAGCGGTTTAGCTCGGCTATACCATTTATTATGCGGTATGAATTAGTAGAAAGCTGGGTGGGACATATCCTAGTTTGCCTAAGGAATTCACAAAGTAAGGGCTGTACAGGGAAGCGTAAACCGCACTCCACAATGGAAATAACGTTAAAGGGTACAAAACCTTGGTTTCCTCATGGTGTGATATCTTGTTTGGCTAGGGTGAGATGGACATCGTCAGGAATGTTATACTCCCTTCGGAATTCGGCCAAACCACTAGGTGTCTCTACTAAGAATCTATACTTCCCCATTTATGCCTTAAGTTATAAATAAATTAAAGCCAAGTGTTAGATCGGTCGAAGATTTGTGCTGTGTAGCTCGGTTGAGCGCTCAAAGGAGTGCCTGGGCAACCTAAGTCTGCAAAAGTGAAAAAAAGAGAGAACAAAGGTGTTAAGCACAGACCATTGGACCGTGCTAAAGAGAAATAAAGGCAAAAATACATCAAGTCCTAGCCCAGCTATGTGAAACGCTATGTGTCTTAGCTCGGTTTGTGCGAAGTGCTTTGTTATCCCGGTTTAGGCAAGGTACTCAATAGTTCGGTGTGTTCAAGGGGATTTCTTATCTCGGCTCTAGCAAGGTGTTTGATAGCCCGGTTGAGCCTCAAGGGGCAGCTTTCTCAGTTCGGTCTGAACTTGGAAGGCTGGTTTAGTTCCTAGATTCAGCTCGGGTGTAGTTACGATTTTCAAGGCTTGACTTGTTAGAACTACAAGTATAGCAAATTAGCTCGGTCGGTTGGTCCGGCTAGACTAATATCAACTACAAACGACTTTTTAGTTCGGTTATACTATGATTTTGGATTAAAATCAGTATTTTTCAGTTTATTCGTGACAAGCCATAAGTTTTATTACCCAAAAGAAGGGAATATGTTTTGAAAAAACACACAAAATACATGTATTGTGAAAGCAAATACGACAAACAACAAAAACAAGGTAGGTTTGAGTAAGCTTACCAGGACAAGAAAAGATGAGAGAAACGACAGCACCACCACGAAGTTTCTTGGAAAACAGATCGAAGAACTCAACAAACTCAGAAGCTCAGGAACGAGAGGGAGGGAGGAGGAAGTGAATAAGTGCAGTGCCTGATCCAAATGAAGAGTTTTTGTTTTGATACAAAGGGACAAAGGCGGGAACTGTTCAAATTACGCGAGGTACGAGGGCGGCGTTACAACTGCCTTTAGCTAATCAGAACGTGCCACGTGTCATTGAAATAAGAATCGATTCAGTTGCTGTGATTGAAGGGACGTTTTGACCCGACAAGCTGAGCCTGGTATGGAATCTAGTTCGGCTGAAGAGCTTAAGAGTTTTTAACTCGGCTGGAAGGACTAAAGGGGTTTAGTTTGGCTGAAAAGGCAAAAACTTTTTTAGCTCGGCTGGGTACTGGTAATCCCTATCATGCTGCACAGATGGAATTAAGGGGCAATTGAGAGGGTAATTTATATGAAAATTGGGCCGAGTTGAGTAATGGGCCGTTATGGGCCATAGTGCGAAGGGCTGAGTAAAAAGGCCATGAAGTTACTCCGGCCCAAGAGAAGTGTAAAATTACTCCGGCCCAAGAGAGGTGTAAAGTTACTCCAGTCCCAAGAAGGTTAACTCGGTCACCATACTAAAACTTATACCGGTTATGGCGCAGTATGGTTAGCTCGGTCTAAACCTTGCTAAAAGTTAGCTCGGTTTAGACCTACCACGGTTTGTACAGGAGGAACTGAGGTAAGGGTAGTAAAAGGACGAACCAAACTAAGGATAGTTCGGTCTGTTCTACGGCTAAGCATAGCCATGCGTACCTCGGCCACATTGGAGTCCAACCATGGTAAAACCATCTCACTTGGTTTAAACAGTGAGGGAGGTGTTGAATGATAGGCATTATCTTTCAGGAGTATGAATCCTAGGAGGACTCTATATGGAGGAGTAAGAGTCCTACTTGGATTGTGCCACACGGAACCTATAAAAGCTCACCAACATCACCTATGGAGAGGTAACACAACTTTGATTCCTGAATACACAGAGTTTTTGTCTACTTGTCTATTTTGCTGACTTAGGCATCGGAGGGGTTTCCGGCACACACCCGTCAATTAGCTCACGTTTGTGTTTTCAGGGTGTAAAGCGACAACGTTTGGAGGAATGCGAACTTGATCAACAGGATTATACGAGAATGTTTATTTCTTTCCCGTACAATTTTTATTTTTATTTTTTATTCTGGGATCTAGAGAGGCTTTGTTTGACTATATTATCCAAACACATTTTATATATTGATTCATGTGTTGTTGATTCTTTTCTTCTTGTATCATCTACAATTCATCCTAATGAAACAAATGAGCATCGTTCCACATTGTGCAGGAAATTACGAAAAGAACAAATAGATGTTGTTTAGCAATTAAGAGCCACTACTAGAAAAAGGGGTATATATGACACGGAACTTTTTGCGATGGCATATGTTCCCGTCGCAAAAAGCTATTTTTTGAGACGGTTAATATTTCGTCGCCAATAGTCAATTATTGCGATGGTAATTTCTATCTCAAAAAGTAGAAAGCATATGTTCAATGGTTTTTGCGATAGTAAACCTATCGTCGTTGCAAAAGGCTCAATTTTTGCAACGATTCTTTCCTCCCGGCGTAAATATATATATATATATATTTTGTGATGGGTATTATTGTGTCGTCATTAATAGCCACAAAACACCCAAATTCCTAAATTTCTCAAATGCTTGGCGCCCTGATATTTTCGTTTTCCCCTTTCTCTCTCTCGCTTTCCATCTTCCATCTTCGAGGTCTCTCTCTCTCTCTCTCTCTCTCTCTCTCATCTGTGTTCACTCCCGCCGGCATCAGTTTGTTGATCCACCTTCACCAAGCCGACATTACCGCCCACTCTCTCTCGATCTCGATCAGTACATGGATATCACCTCTCGCAGCCCCAATAGCACCAGCGTGGGAAGAGTTCTAGGTAACCCTTCTCTCCTCTCATTTTCTTACCCCTCACACTTGCTCGCACAGACCCTTACAATCTCTCGCTCTCGCGTTACCCTTACAGATTGTTTGTAGCAGCAGTGGCAGTGGCAGCGACTTCCCATCGATTCTCTCTCCAGCATCCAGATATATCTCTCATCTGCTATCCTCTGCTCTCCTCGCCTGTCCTCTCCTCTTTTTCTCTTCTTTTTCATTCATTGGAATCAAACCCTCTTCATTGGATTTAACTAAATAAAAATAAATAAATCAACCCTAAACACTAGTTTTAATCCAACGCATTATGCAACATTTTTACAATTAAATCTCGTGTTGAATCTGTGAAAAATGATACTCCCTTTTTGTCTATGCAAGTATGAGTGTGGGGATTGGAACCCTAGAAAGTTGTGCAGAGATTGGAGATTGAGAGAGAGAGGAGAGAGGGTGTGAAGGGTTGATTGGTTGATTCAAAGTGCTGTGAATGTGTTTGATGAATGTGTGTGCTCTTCACCTGTCTATTTCTATTTTTTTTGATGAATGTGTGTGCTTCATTTATATACACAAGGAAGACTGCAATATTTTCAGTGCAAAAGGTGGAAAATATTTAGCACGTAACTTTTCTAATTACAGTCATAGTGGGTTGACTCTCCTTTTTTATTTTTAATTATTTTTTTTACACAAATTTAACTAGTCTGAGTTGTATGTTAGATGCGATTTCTTTCTCTTTTCGGTTTTGGCTAATAAGAGTTTGGTTTTGAGACCATTGGAATGCAATGATCCTCATTGCTATGGCAGGGAAACAAGCCCTTCTACATCACTGTTGTGGTATCAAGTCCATTTTCCTTGAGCATGTGGTGGGCCAACTAGTTTAAGAAAATTTGAGTAAACAAGGTATTCGTTCTAATTAGAAGCTCAACTAATTTCTAAAAAGAATAAGACTTCATAAACTTCGAAGCCTAGTGAGTATCAAACTCAATACCAATTAACTCTGACAACCAATTTCGTCATGTAAAGAACTAATTACTTGATGACTAGAGTGGATATTTTTTTAGTTAGATGAAGGTGCTTCTTCATTGGCATTTTGGTGAAATTTTAGTTTGCACTTTGAGAGAGGACATGTCAACTTAAACCTTGTAATGGTTGCTGCCATCATGCAATTGGGTAATAGCTTCAATGTTTTAAATCATACTCTCAAGAGGATATGACTTACTTTTACTAAATATTCTATTTTCCTCTTATTGTAGCTACTTTATTTCTGTTTCTTAGTTGTTGTGATCCATTCAATGAGAAAGCACTTCGAGCTGGCTGAGGAGCCTTCTTTTAGCTTCCTATAGTTTCTGGAACTTGGACTCATCTAGAAGCTCTCAGAAATAAATTCCATTTTAAGATTTTGGCTGGTCATCCTGAGAGTAATGAACAATCGAAGCCAGTGTCTAGGCTTTCTGAAGGGCTTGCAAATTCTTTAGTAAATTTGCCACTGTGCTTGGTCTTGGGTGGCGAAAGGAGTGACCTTTCAACAAAAACTAAGCATGTATGTGAGCTTGTAATCATTCTAATGGTAGGACAATTTGAGTCTCTTAATGTTTCTGTTGTTGGTGGGATTTTCTTATATATGCTGTAGCCTGAGAACCATAGATATGCCTTAATCTTTCCATGAACTGTCATGCCAGTTTTAGTTCTAATTCTCTGTAACAAACATTATACATAAAGCGCAAAAAGATATAATATAACATCAAATTCATAGGTCAAAGTTTCATTTCATCCTAGCTATAAATTAGTATATGCCATCGGTGGGGATTCTTTGACTGATTAGCATGAATAAAACATTTGATTATCACATTCAAAATGCGCAACTTAATATAGTATGAAAATTCTGCTAAGAAAACTATGAGTATAAAGACCCAAATTGTATAGAGCATTCAATGGGGAAAATTGTGGTTCTGATGATAAGTCAAAGGAAAGGCACCAAATCCTAAAAGCTATTAACATATGTTTTTAAACTTTATAATCTTCATATGAATATACGGATTATAGCTCTTGATCCAGGACTTATTGCATAATATTTTCAATCTTCCCAAAATTTAAAAAAAAAAAAACTTATTAATACCCGTGCTTCCTGTCCAACATTTAGTTAAATATTGAAATAAAATCATCAAGCACTGAAAGAAGCATATCATAATCTGCTCAACTTAGTTGTATAACTCATGTTACCATGCCAGACATTATTCAGTGTCATTCTAAACACCCAAGACATCGAATCTAGCCCTTGATTACACCATCTTATCCTAAACATAGGAAATATTAAAAGCAGTGTTTGATGATAAATTTGTTTGATCATAAGCTCCCATCCCTACAGATCAGACAGCAACCTGCAAAAAATTAACCTACACTGAGAGCATTAGTTAAAAAAATTGGAGGCTCGCCCACTCAACCTACAAATCTCACATCACTCAGTCAATATGCTAGTGTAGGGCTCACAACACTCAACCCACCTCCCTTAGAAAATTACCAGCCATGTACCTGCAGGTTATTAATAGTTACCAGATTTAAGCACAGAGTCAGGTAAAGACCATTCCTTCAAGAACCAATTATTTATTAAAGCAGCCTCGAAGTTAGTGATTGACATCGCTCTACACCTCACTAATTCCTTTATCCTGCTGATTATAGCCACCTTATTTGACTTTGTCGTTTGGAAAATCCTACAATTTCTTTCCTGCCAGATACATTAAATAGAACAAGTGAAGACCAGTTTACAAATAGTGACAGACAATGAGGAACCAATAAGCTGGGAAGCTAACCAATTCACAAGTTGGTTTCAGTTCATATTAGGCCAGGCCACATTACACTTAGCTGTCATGGTGGACTAGATTCTGAATGAAAAAGGGCACTCAAAGAATAGATGATTGTGGTCCTCATCCTCCTCCTCACAAAGCACACACCTAGAATTATCCCTCACTCCAAAGATAACTAGCCTCTCAAAAGTATTAAGCCTATTATAGATGGCCATCCAGACAATGGTACTAACCGTAGGAATATGGTGTTTGAACCAAAGAAGTTTAGCCCAATGCACCTTGGGGTGCTGGGCTCTCCACAGATTCCAGGCTGACTGAATAGAGAAATAGCCATCAGAGGAATTTAACCAAATAAGTTTGTCCTCAAAGTTAGTAGGGTTACCCTGGACATTAGCCTTGATCTCATCTAATTCCTAGGTTTAGCACACAGGCCATCTCCATCTCCATCTCCATCTCCATCTCCATCTCCAATCATCAATAATAGACTCAACCTTGGCTTGGTCTTGAGAGCCAAAATCATAAATCACTCTATCCCCAAACCTCTACTTCAAAGTGCCAAGGGGATGCCAATTATCAAACCAAAGAAAAGTGTTCCTCCCATTACCCACTTTGTAACCAATATGCTGGATGAGCTCACTTCTAAGGCCTAGGATTTTCCTCCAAACCCAAGAAGGGTCGCTAGGTGTTTTAACACTCCAGAAGCTTCTATTCTTGTGCAAGTAGGACTTGCCCATTGACACCATATGTATTGCTCACCCCCAGTCAAAAGATACCAAATGTGTTTAGATACAACAGCTTTGTTCCATATCCCAAGCTCTTCAAACCCAAGGCCACCTTCATTTCTAGGAATACATAAGTGGACCCAAGCCACCTTAGCCCCAGACTTCTTAAGCTCAGGCCCAGACCAAAAGAAAGCTCTAAGAGAGCCTCAATCTCTCTAATTACCTTCTTTGGGAGGATAAAAAGAGAAGACCAATAAACCTGCATTGAGAATAGAGTGGACTTAACAGCTATGTACTCATTTTAGGCCTATGACAAATTTTGATGAGATTTCCTTCCACATCATTGAGTGCATACATTTTCATTTGCAAAATTCCAAAACAAAGGTATCAATATGTGGTACTATTATGTTCTTTGAGTTTTCTAAAAAAATCAAATGTGCACTATACTTATGTTCAAATGCATTCTGCGATCTTGTATAGCTGATTGGCTTTATTTTGCTGCGAAGTGACACCACAACCCAGCCTCAGTCTGTAACCCCATCTCTAAAAACAGCCACACAGGACGGATCAAATGGATATTAGACAAACTCAACAAATCTTGTATGGGATTCATATAGGAAAAGTAATTTCATTTTATGACATTTTTGTTAATGTGCATACATGACACCATATTCTTCTGCTTATTTTCTCTCTAGTTCTCTAGGCAATATAGTGTAGATGGGCTTAAGGGCTTGATCAGATGGTGGTTGAATACCTACAGAAACTGTCATACTTGTGAGTAGTTCTATTCTGTTAACTATTTACATGTTTCATGATTAATGTGGCCAGTGTTACCAGTCTAAAACATCAATTTAAACATGTTTGTTTTTCTTGCATTCAACTATGACATTGGTACCTTTAAATAGAACCATATTGTTACATTTTAGAATAATGTTTGGCTTTAATGTGATGATCTTAATAGGAAATTCTTTGTAGATTTATCTTCATATGCTTGATACATCCTTTCTTCTTTATGATGCTGGTTTTTCTAAACCTTTGAAAACAATTCATGTTTGCAGTGGACAGGAAAAGGGAATACATAGGGATGAACTGTCCCAGAAGCTAAAAACCATAGCTTATTGACATTGTGTGCCCGTAATAGTGAGAGATTGATATTTACTCTTAGAACCAATCAACTATATTTTTATGTTTGAATGTAATATAAGTAAACATTTGCTGAAGGATGCTCTAAGGTATTCATGGCTTCATTTGTGGGCTTCATCAAATGGGATTCTAGCATTTTTTTCCTTGTTGACATTTTTGTTATTGTAATCATTTGCTTGATGGTTCAAACACAAATACAAGTATAAAGTAATATGTTAATCAAATTGAATTGTATATATAGTTTTGTATTTGTATTTATATTTGGTGTATTGGTTTATGTTTGTTATGAAACAAAGTATCAGTTTTGATTAGATACATTTGCATTTTAATGCTTTCGTTCTATTTTCATTGTTGAAGGTTATGATTAAAAATTTGGAGCAAGTAGTGAACGTGGTTTTGAATTCATTCCAAGATCCTTATCATCGAGTGTGATGGGCAACTATTAATGCAATTGGACAGTTGTCTTCAAATTTAGGCCCAGATTCGCAAGTTCAATATCATCAACATTTGCTACCAGCTTTGGCTACAACTATGGATGATTTTCAGAATCCTCGCATCCAGGTTAGTTCTTTTGGTGCTTTGAAAATTGTAAATTTTAGATGGTTACAATTGATTTTCTATCTTGTCCTTGGTCCTGCAAATATCAATTGCATGATTAAATCTGATTTATGCATGATTAATGTGATTTTGGTTGTTCACCAGTGTTTTAGCGATTTAAATTAACAAACTCTGAAATACTTCTGTAAGCAATTGTGAGGGCTTCAGTCAAAAAAACTTCCTCGAGAGCCAAAGCCTTAAGGTACTTGAGATCAATTTTTTTCCTATGAATGGGTATCCACACTAGCAAATATTTGCATCAAATGGCTGAAAATCACTTAGATTCCAAATCAATAGTTATTTTCCGATTTCCAAATCGAAAGCTTCAGTCACAGCAGAAACTATGTGAGACAGATAGGGTGAAATAGAAGTGTGTCATGAGCCTAAGGGAAACTGGTTAGAGTTCTGCTAAATGTAGATAAAGCGGGCTATTGAAGTGGGTGGGAGGATGTAACAAACAACATAGGATAAAAAATATTACTGTTTGGAAAAAAAAATATTGTTAGAGTTGTAGCCAAACATTGAAAAACAAAATAAATGTAAATTATTTTACATCAAAATAAACGGAGCCTGAAACAAATAGAAGTTTCCTTTAATTATGTTGTAAATGATGAGTTTTTTTCTTTTTTTTTTGTTTCTTTTTGTAGACGCAACCCTTTTGACTACGTGATGATATTTTTGCATATCGATATCGGAGCTTACTATTGATATTAAAACAAGCTATAATATATATATATATATATATAGATATTTTAATTTTATTTGTATTGTCGATACTTTTGTTTTGTTTTAGATACAAAAATTTGAGTTCTTAAATATAAAAAATTATTAGAATTATTGGAGGATGTTTTATATTTTTGTAATGAATATTTGGTTGACAATTGTTACAAGGTACATATATATTATTCTTGGTATGATTTTGTGAATGTGGATGTGGATGTGAATGTATTTTATTTTAGAAAATATTAATAATTTGTACAGGGAATGGATTAAAAAAATATATATTGATTTTATGAAAATAATTTTATTGTGACAATAATAAACCGTCGCTAATGTAATCATCATTTCCTTACATTTTATAAGTGATGGGTTAACCTATCGCATATGCATATTAATTCAAATTTTTAGTGACGCATTAAACTATCGTAAATACGATATTTAATTTAATTCTATTTTTTTTTGCAGCATTTTTTACCATCGCTAATAATACCTTTTGTGACGTCAAATACCGTCGCTAAAAAAGTTTTGGTGACGGCAACCAATATCGTCACTAAAAGTGAAGTTTTTTCTTTTTCTTTTTTTGTGTCAGGTTAAACCGTTGCAAAAACTATTGATTGGCCGTCGCAACAAGAAAGAGATGGTTTGTAATTGTTGCAAATACTTTTTGTCACACCCCCTTCTGCCACCCCCCACTTCTTGTCGCTACTCCATCGCAAAAAGTCTTTTGCGACGGTATGTGGACCTTTCGTGACGTTTGCGACTGTCACAAAAGGTCTGATTTTTAGTAGTGAGTACATAAACCTTATTTTTTGAATTGATTGTGAAGGAACAAACTTGACTAATCTGGGCTGGCCTATAGTTGAGCAGATAGAGAGGCTAGACCTCTTAGGTCGCTTGACTAGGCTAGGCATGTTGGTCTTCAAGGTTTGGAATTACGTCCGGGGAACATGTCGTGCTTGGAATCTGGTTCAGATAATGAGAGACAACAAACCTTTAGTCTGGACTAGAGGCAACCTATATATGGCTGGGCTCGGTTAGGTGTTGGGTTCAAAGTTAGAGACGACTACGTGCACAAATCTGAGACTCTTGGACGCACAATCTTCTTAGGAAGAGAGTCCATGTTGAACACAAACTCGTGCAATGTTTATTTAATGCTTGAAAAATTATAAAAGAAAGCGAGAATGACAATAGTGGGATTCAATCTCTTGATGCAAGTACGTAAACCCTAACTTCATTCACGTTGCTTTTCCCTATATTGATCCTTTTAGGTACTAGAGGAATTCTTCAGAACACACCTACCGATTAGTTCATCGCTTTTGTCTTATAGGTACAACGTGATAGTCAGAGGTAGGCCTGTCAACGGGTCGGATCCGGGTCGGATCTGTCAAAATCCGATCCGATCCGATTAACTATTAATCCGAATCCGAATCCGATTATTGAAAATCCGATTATACGTGATCCGATCCGATCCGTTTTACACGGATATCCGATCCGAATAATCCGATCCGATCCGTTTTTTTTTTTTAAGCCAGCCATAAAGTCAAGAAAATACCAATTATAAAAAAAACATAGCAGCTTTTTATAATGAAAAGTTCATCTTGATGTTCTGACTTTCCTAAGGCAAAACATTTAGGCAAATCATCACCAATGCAAAACATAACATCATTTCAAAGCATCTTTCCAAAACAAAACATCACAATTTCTCCCCTTGTGATACAATCAAAAATACATAAATGAGGGCTTTCACAATGTAGCATGAAGTAACAACAAAGAAAAACTTTTTAAAAAAAATATTCAATTCTAGCAAACTAAAAGTGAAATTGAAAGATATCTAGCATGTTTGACTAGCAACATCAAAATTGGAAACAAGTCTATTTCATTACACATGCTAAACATATGTTCTCGGATTTTGAACATACAAATCAAATCAAACAATACTGAGCAGTCTAATTCAAAGCTTACAAGCCTAACCCAGCTCAATAACTCAACCTGATCATATCCCAAATAGAGTACAAAAGTCACTGTTGCATTCATGGTGTAAAAACAACTCAAAAGATGTCACCAGGTTTTGAGAGACAATGGAGCATCATTACAAAGCAACAAACCAATCACTTGGTTGCAAATTAAACGGTGATGTGATTTAGTTTCACTATCACCAATCATATCCAACTCAAAAAGAATAATTCCATCATTGACAAAAAAAAAAAGTAACATCAGCCACCAAAACATTGCCACTGCATTCTCTAACTTACAAGAGGTCAGAATTTTATGACACACTTTTGGCACAAAAGTAAAACCAGAAAAAACTCATGAAAGACTCCTATGAAGAACAAGCTATGCTATACTATCTGAGAGCTAACAATAGTTTCCCAAACATGTTTGTGTCTCTTTTGGTCTTCTCTATTAGTTCTTCAGTATCTTCTCTTGTTCTTTGCTTCTACTACGATAACATCAGCCACCAAAACATCTGCAGAAGTAATTTTATCAATGTATCAGCAAGTGTAAGAGAAGATAAAAACAATAATGAAAACAATTTTGTTGATAAAGAGCAGTGGACCCAAGTAAAGTCACCGATCAGGGAGGAGACTTATTTTGTTATATATATATATATATATATATATATATATTTATATTTTTTGACAATTGATAGGAGGGGAATAGAAATGGGAAAGCTGCATAGCAGTAAGACTCGAACCCAAGCATAACAAAAATAACTCCATTTCAAAATCACAGGAAATCGACTGAAATGGGGTCTCATATGGTATAGATTTTGACTCTTGTACCTTCAATATGCAGGCACCCAACAGATTTGGAAGTAGGCAAAATCAGCACAACCCTCTACCATCTTAACAAAATATTTTACAACTAAAGAAAGGATGAAGCAAACACATTTTCAAGCTCAGAGAGTCTATGATTCTTCTTTTTCTTATTGTCTGTTTTACTAAATACATACTGAAAGAGAACCACAAAGTCTAATTATGTACCAAGCCAGAGCCCACATCTTCGACAAGATTAAAGAGATGCATCACGGAGAATATATATTCAGACGATCCAACACATGTACATGGTAATTGTAAAAAGTACCAATAACCAGAGCAGTTCACATAAGCACTATTAATATTTAAACCAAGCTCCAAGAAGAAAAGTTATGTAACCACATTTCACCACAAGCAGTTCTAGTAAGAGATAATTAAAGCTATATACTCACGATTCTTCCAAGTCAATAACTTTAATAGCAACCACTTTGTTAAGCTCATTATCAAACCTGCAAATCAAGAAAGCTATTACCTTAATATGCAAACAGATTACCAAATTATGTCAATAACGAATTTCATAGATCACTATAAAGGCATGGGACAAGCCCCATAATCTGAACCATATTTACCCATCTACTTCAAGTGATTCGATTCAATTCAATCCATCTACTCATGTCTGCATTCTTCTACATCTGCAATTTGAAAATAATGTGACATTAAGATATTCATAGAACTAAACTAAATAACATCTAATTATTTAAAAATTTCAATATTTCACTTACTTCTATTTTTGGTTGATTCAATCCAATCATGGCAAGTGATCAAGGCCTCCACAATATCTGGAAGTAATGAAGCACGTGTCTCATCAATCACCCTACCTCCTACACTAAACGCCGCCTCTGATGCAACCGTAGTAGCAGGAACACTTAAAACATCACGAGCTATCCTTGCCAAAGTAGGAAATTTTGCTTTATTCACTTTCCACCAATGTAGAATATTGAAGCTCTCATTACTTGGAAACACCAACTCCTCCAAGTATTGCTCCACCTCTGATTTTTGATAGGCATGAATGTTAGAAGCACGTTCTTGGGCATACCACGCATGAAAAGCAGCCAAACTTTCTTGTTTCGAAGAACCGACAAGCAACTGACTACCACTTGAGCTACTATTTTCAGAAACAAGTGCAATGCTACTCATAGAATCAGAAGAATCACTCCTATACTCATAAAAAAGATCAACAAAACCATTACGGACCCTCTGAATATGCTTATTAGCATCAACACCATAAATAAGCCCAAAGTAGTATTCCACCAAGTCCATTTTAAATCTCGGATCAAGAACCACTGCAATTGCTAACACCAAAGAACATTCTTCCCAATATTTTTGAAATTTCACTCTCATTGGACCAGCCATCAATTGAATGCAATCATACTCACTTTGCTCCCATTTTTTCATTTCAAGTTGAATAAGACAAATATCGGGAAAAAACACATTTGAAGTCGGAAAAGTGGTACCACTAAAGTGAGATGTAGCATCAAAAAAAATCTTCAAGCACCCACAAATCACATTTGCTACATTCCACTCATCCTCAGAAGGATTGTGCTTATATTGTTTGTCAATTTGCCCTAAGCGGTGGAATGCACTTTTCAAATCTAATGCAGCTTCAAGCATTGAATAAGTGGAGTTCCATCTGGTAGGAACATCCATGGGGACTTTCTTTTTATGATGTAACTTAACATGATTCACTGCAACATCAAATTTTTGTTTTCCATAAGGAGACCTCCCTAAATATCTCACACTTTCTCGGATTTTTGAAATAAGACTACCAATCACCTTCAAACCATCCTGAACAACTAAATTCAATATGTGCGCGCTACAACGCACATGAAACAATTGTCCACCCAAATGTAGTAATCCTTGGTCATGTAGCCATCGCTTTAAGAGTCTCACCATGACATCATTACTCGTTGCATTATCGACTACCATTGAAAATAACTTCTTATCTATGTTCCACTCTAAAATTAGATCTTTGATAAAACTAAACAAATGGTCTCCATCATGCGGGTAATCAATGCGTCTATAAGCAAGGATTTTCTTCTTCAACTCCCAATCATTAGTCACATAATGAGAAGTCAAACATGTATAGGCAAAATTCTGATGGTCTGAAGTCCATATATCAGTTGTCAAGGTGATCTTAGAAGAGAGTTCATCCAAAAATTGATATAACTTGGCATTTTCTATTTCATAAACATCAAGGACATCCGGCCTAACAGTGTTACAAGAAACAAGTTTGAACATTGGCTGAAGATTATTGCAAAATATTTCAAAAAATTCATGCTCAGCCATGTTAAAAGGATAATTATGCTTGATTACCATCCTACAAAAATCCATACGACTTCTCTCTTAATGAAATTTAAAAGTTGCAGCCTTAGAAGTAGATTCAGAAGTAGCCTTACTAGCATTCCTAGGGGCATTTGGTCCTTTAAGTACTGGACATGTCTTCGACAAATGATTTTTTAAATGACTAGTCCCTTTCCTACTCTCTCCAACAAATTCCCTATTGCAATGCTTACATCTAGCTATGTCATTTCCATTAGGTCCTTTAAATTTGACAAAGTCATCCCATACCTTTGAAGTTAGTTTTCGAATCCTCTTTGTGGGTCCTTGAGATACATCGTCATCCAACTCGGCATCATCAGCAGTAATAGGTTCGCTATAATCCGAAGACATCTTTGGCTCTAAAACTCAAATATGCACTACACAAGAAATCAAACATAAAGGAGCTATCCCATTACTAAGTCTTTGCAGACGATTGTAGTGAAAAGATAAGCAGACATGTTTGTAGAGGATTGTAGTGAAAAGATAAGCTATCCCATGAATCTAACATAGAAGAGAAATTTCAGAATCAAGATGAATTTATGAAAATAGATTAAAATATAAAATTGATTATAACTAAAAAAAAAGAAAAATGATAGAAATTCCGAATGTTTTACTAATATTTCTACTAAATATCTCACATGAGTTTGAAATCCACACCATATTGGTCCCATGTAGGTCCGATATCCATGTGAGATATTTGGTAAAAATATTGATAAAACATTTAAAATCAATAACCTTATTAAAAAAAAATGACATTACGAAAAGGTGCATATGGCACCTCCTTTTCAAATGTATGTATATTAGAATCTCCTCTGAATTTAACGTTTAAACGTTTAAACAATGTAAGAGTTTCTCCAGTGTACCCATTGGCTCTGAGATCAAAATATCTACTTTCTCAGGCAATTCAAGTTCTTCAACTTTACCCTTGACTACATATAATTTAGGTGAAAACTTGCCCCAAAAAGAACAAGAAACAGTGTACTAACTCCATTAACATTTAAACTTTAAACTAAAATGTAAGAAAACAAAAAATTGCACCGTAATTCCAATGGGTTCCTAGCAATAAGTTTGTGGGCATATTATTATGCCATATCAGATGCTTGCACTACATAAACATGTTTACCACCAACCTAATGAGAAAAAAAAGTGAGGCAGAGAAAAAGAGAGGGTGGTAATTAGAAACATATTTTCAATCAAATGCAATGTCAAACTATTTTTTATTTGTTTGCATAAATTCCTTCTCTAATCTTTTTTCTCCACAAACCCATTTACAAATTCAACATCCAAAATATTTTTTATTTGTTTGCATAAATTCCGTCTCTAATCTTTTTTCTCCACAAACCCATTTACAAATTCAACATCCAAACACAACAAAAATATATAAAGACAATATGAATTGTACATTCAATGGGAATCATGTGACATTGGATTGATCAACAAACAGAACCATAAATAACATACTCACCACATATCTAACACTGTTTTTCTTTTTTCTTTTTTTTAAAAATAAGGCATCCCGTCCTAACTAATCCCTAGATACATGTAGTTCCTCCAGAAATGATCCTATTGAAGAAAGTAGACTAGATTCAAGTGTAATGAAAGAATATAACAGCCTCATTCCAGTCCCTAATGCATCCTATAGTCTTATAGAGCTAGAGATTTAATTTTGATTGGAATACAAAAGTAATGCATTCTTATTTAATCAGCGAAATAACAACCTACACAGAGTTTGACATTGCATTTAACACCAGAAGAAAATATAGATATTCCAAGATTGATAAGCCAACTCACATATAGCCAATGTAGATATTTATTAGATTCAAGTGTAAATAATTATTCTGCAAATCAACAAAAGTGAAGAGATGATAGTGGGATGTCTTACAAGCGCAAGTCCACAAAATATATATATATATATATATATCTCTTCAAATTGCTCACTTCGAAAAATTATTCAGCAAAAAAAATTGATTTTAACTAATAAAATACTTTAAAATCCTTCAAAAAATTGAACAAAAAAAAAATGCCCATAGTTATCAAAAACTATAAAATTAAAAAAATTAAAAAAAAAACTTCCACATTAACAAAACCCAACTCTCATTAACAAAACCCAACTCTCAAATCAATAAAAAGAAACAATAAATTCACGGTCTCCTTTGATCTTGTTCAATATTGTAACAAAACCCAGCTCTCATTAACAAAACCCAACTCTCATTGACAGAGCAATAGGATCAGATCTGATACATACAACTTTAAACCAAGAATCAGATCTGATACGGGTAAGAATCAGATCGGCAACAAAAACAGATCTGATACAGGACAGAGACCCAACAAAAAAAATAAAAAATAAAAAGGAGCAGAGAGATGATCTCTTACAGTTCGTAGCTTCGATCTGACAAGATTTGGACTTCGTTCTTTGAAATTGAGCGTTATGAATCCAATCGGAGCAGAGAGCTTGATTTGGCTAGGTTCATCGTCATCAATCGGAGCATTTTCAGACGATGAGAGAGAGATTTGATCTTCAGATGATGAACTTCAACAACAGAACGCATTTTTCAGACGATGAGAGAGATCTGTTTATGAGAGATCTGATTTCAATGGAATCGGATTAGGCAAACAAACGGATTGGATCGGATTTATCCGAGTCCGACCCGTTTAAAATCGGGCTACACAGATACGGGTTAAACGGATATTCGGATTCGGATTTGCATAAATGGACCGGATTAATCGGATCGGATTCGGATCGGATTCGGGTTATACCCGATCCGTTGACAGGCCTAGTCAGAGGATTAGAATTGAGTTCTACTGACGGTCATGTTCTATTCACATGCAAAGTTTCTGGGTTTGTTTGATTTGTGTTTTGAAACATGTTTTTGGAAGAAAATTTTCAAAAATATGTTTGGTTACAAATTTTCTCAAAAAAATTTCATAATTACTTCTCTCTATTACACATCATTCAATCACTTTTTCTCTCGCACATATCTACTCAATTACAACAAATTATTTTTAAAATATACAACCAAACAAACTAACAAAATTTCTAAACTCTCTCCTCAAATTTTTTTTTTTAAAAAAAAAAAAAACTCATCTTAAAACACAAACCAAACACACCCTCTATGTCCGTACAGATTGCAAGCACCTTCTCTAAAGGATAGTTCAAAACAATTGGTAGCTTCAATCCTTATTAAACTCCACATGGCACAATGCCATCTTTTTGTATTTTTAAGTCTCTAATTTTAATACACCCTTAATCACGTAATCATATTTGAAATATAATATTTTGAAATTCTGATTATATCAAGCCGTTCAAAATTCATTAGGAATAGAGGGCCTAAACATATAGCCCCAAAATTAAACATTAACTTAATTAATGGCCAGGAGAATAGCTGTTAAATAACAGTACTATTGTTATGAACAATCACCATAATAGGAAACCTCATTGATTAAGTTGTATAAAATGAACAATAACATTCTAATATGGATGCCATTTTCTTGGTTTTGGGTGCAGTTTATTACAAAATGTTGATGATGACTGCCTTGACAATTGTTATAAAAGTTTTTTAAAAAAGTAATATTTTTTTTTTTCTGAACTTAAAAAAAATCCAAAAGGTAAAAATATTTTGAAATTTTGTTTTTACTAAGTTCAAGAAAAGCAAATATATTGTCTTTAATAGATTTTTTTTTTTTTAAAAAAAGGAAACTAATTTTAATTTTAGAGTTTTCTAGTTTAATAGGATCCAAAAGTGAAAAGTTTTTTTTAAAAAACATCACTATGAAAAAGAAAATTAACGAAAAAGTATTCGCTAATGTAGTCCTAACTTACACAACATAAGATGATTACTAGCATGATCATAACTATTTAAATATGAACATATATATGATAGATTGCAGCTCCTCTGCCCTCCATGATTGGACTGGAGGGATTTGGCTCTATCATGGCAGGCCCACATCAAAACCTATCTCGATAATTTAAATTGTTCGTTTTATTAGATTAATGGAGAATATTATCTATATAAAAAATCAAGTCAATTATATATGAATAATCACTTAGCTAAATCATATTTATCTAAAAATAAAAATAGACAAATTATTTTAAAAATCATATAATTCAATCATGAACCGGAGATAAATTATTCCCTATATGATATACAAACTTTAAAAGTTTCATGAATCCGTACCATATAAAATGATAGATTAATAGATTATTGTCGTCACTTTAGGGGAAAAGGGCGAGCTAGAAAAGGCACCTAGGGTAGGAGAGACACAATGTCCCATTGCCGTGATCAGCTGTAGAAGAGCCCATGCTTTCTATAATTAATTGATTGATGTTCTTCTATTGCTTAGGGCTGGTTGGGGTGCTACAAAGGGTTTCATGGTATGGTTTTGGACTTTCTCAAATGTTTTGTTCTATGCTAAGGCCTATATGGCCTTGTGGGGATGAAAAAATCACATACAAGCTAACCTATTTAAGCTGGAATTATGGGTTCAACCTCTTCCACTTGTTCTGCACTCGTGGGTTAAGCCCAATCCTGAAATTATATCTAAGCCCAATAACATAGACGGTTATAACCCTTTTCAACCAACGTGGAACCTTACATATTCCCATGTGGTAACTTTTCACAAACTCTCCTAACTCACTATTATGAGTTGTTTTGAAAAGTTGGTTAAGAATTAATTTTTTTTGAAAAATATATATTATTAAAAGTCAAAATTTAAATTTTAGTTAGGTATGTCATTAGGTCTTATGAAAATATATATATATATATATATTGGTGAAAAGTACATCCTTTGTAAAATGTTATGATGAGAAGTATATTTTATTATTTTGAAAAATATTTTATTTTCAATTTTATCTCTTAACCAATTGTTGAAATCTTTTTTATCTGTTTAATTTTTTTGAACTTGTCTATTCAAATTTTTATCTATTTATCAAAATTATTTTTTACTTTTTTTATTCTATCTGTTGAAATATTGATCTATTAGTTGATATTCGCCAAGCTTATTTTTAATCTATATGTTCAAATTTTGATCCCATCTATTTAAATTTTTGTATCTTTTCGGTATCTATCTGTTGAACCTACTTTCTCTTTCTCTCCCTATCTAATATTTTGAATACTCTCTCTCTCTCTCTCTCCACAAACCCACTATCTATCAAAATTTTATCTGCACAAATGAGAAGAATAAAAAAAAAAAATAGAGGAGATGATGTATTCCATTGATTAACACATGATCAAAGCTCCATTCACGAACGCAGGATCAACTTGGAATTAGAGTACCTCCATTGATGAACACAGGATCAAAGCTCCAAACCCACACCACACGCCCTAATTTCAAGTTGAAAAGCTGAGATCTGGAAAGAATTCCTAGAGAGAAATTATATGAATCCGAGTGGCTCATCATCATCATGATGAGCAACAACACAACAGTCGCTTATCATCATCATCGACTCTTAGCTTGACGTCCTCGAACAGATCAAGCTTGTCTTCAGCTTCGACGAACTCCGAACTGCCCCGGGCCGACTCGGATCTTCAACATCTCTGTCTCTTACTCAAATCCCTCAATCCCTCTCTGCATGTTCGATCAGTTCTCCATCCTGCCGGAGCTCATCGATCGGAAAGTGACCCACATGAAGATCATCTCTCCTTCGAATCACATCGTCGATTTCGGCAAAACCCTAAAGCCTCACGAGTCCATCGGTGCCATCCTTCTCAAAGACCTCTTCACGAATCTGGAGCTCCCATCATCGGCTGGCGTGCCATACGTCGTGCACCTCACGATCGGTGGATCTCAAAGGCCGCTAGCCGTTGATGTTGTGGTGGTTGAGAGAGAAGAGAGAGGTGAGAGAGAAGTTGAACAAGTAGAGAGAAGGAATGGTCGTGGCACTCTACTCTCTCTTTCTCTAGAAATTTGGGTTCTGATCCACTCTTCCTTTCCTAGATATTTTTGTTGGATTTATTTTTCTAGTGTGGCCCAATAGCTTACATATTTTTTACATGTTTTAATTTATTTGGACTCCACAAATAGATAAAGCCAATATTTGAGATCAAGTTCAGTAAATAGAATTTTAATATAATCACTCTTCTAAGATCCTAAGATAAAAAGGAAACCTTGATGGATTAGGAATTCTTCTGATAGAGTTTATCTGGCCCTCTTCTCTTCTCTATATAAGGATGGGTGACTCCCCTTAGATATCATGAGTTTTTTTTCCATCACTTTAAGTTTTATAGTCCCATCACTTTAAGTTTTAAAGTCATCCTAATTAAGAGAGACAGATAGAAGAAAGTGAGCCAAGAATTAAAGGTTCAACTATTAGGGGTATTTTCTCAACTTCTCTAATTCAATGGCTGACAAAGGTATGTTCGTTTTATTCTTGAGTTGTATTGAATTCAAGATCCTGTAAAGTTTAATTCCGCATTATTATTATGGTTACATGTATTGTTAAATCTTACAATTTTACAAGGAATTTAGAAAAAGAAATGAAAAAAAATATGTAAAATATAAATAAAATATATTATATTATATTATATTTTATTTTATTTTAACTTTTTTTTTTCAATCTCTTTTTAAATTTTCTAACCAAATCAGTGTTAGTTGTTTTCAATTATGAATAGTTTGATATTTTTATGAAAACATATTTTTATAACAATTCAGAGCTTGAACTTTTAGACACTTATGGACTCTGAGCCCTAAATAACTTATTTATTTTACCATACACCAACAACAACCACTATATAAAGAAGACTACACCATTAAACAATATACGTCTTTGCTCATGGTCTCTGTCATAACAAGCTCTAACTTCATCGTCGAATCTAGAGGTTGGATGGCACAAACAGTGCTTTGTTTTGGATATGAGCAGATTTTATGGACTTGTAGGCCTTAATGCAGAGAATTTTTTGGATGCAACTAGGACATTTCTTATGTAATATCCAAATTAAATGAGACTAGTTTAAAGAATATGACTTGTAATTTTTTGTGTTTTTATTTTGAGAGGTAACATGAGAAGTGACAATCTATAATTAATATAGGATCATACCAAGTGATGCCCTACTGGCAAAACTTTCTCCTCAATGTGAAGCTGTACATTTTCTTACCTTTTCTTTCCTTATTAGTGTATGGAATTGCAAAATTCATAATGGAGACACCTCACTAGGAAAAAGTTTCTATACAGTATCTGATATACCAAAAGCAAAATTCCAAATAGAAAAGGATTGCCTTTTATTTTCCTTTAATTTTCAACATTTAAAAAAAAAATTAATATTATATTTGAGAAGTTTCTAGAAAATACAAATATTATGTTTAGATAGTGGATTTGTGGAAAAAGAAATAAAATGGAAAATATTGGGTGAAAAAAAGGTGAAATAAACTAAATATGTTTATTTAGTTTTATTGGGATAGGAAAAATGAGAAGGGAAAAAAAAATAATAAATAAATTCTAAAAGGGTAGTTTTAAAAAATAGGGTGAAATATTAATAAATTTCAAAATGTGATATTGTGAACTGTTTAATCCCCTCACTTCTTTTTTTTTCCTTATAAATCCAAAAGTCCCATTTGTGGAGAAGTGGTTTGAAAATACTTTTCTGATCCTAGAGAACGCTCGTGATCCTCTTCTGATCACCTGAAAAGGAATAAACACTCCGGTCGGGGGTGCCGGAATTAGCATTCCGACGGACAAGTCAGAATCTACACTCAAGAATGCTTGTATTCTAAGTTAAGCACAACAATTCTCACATACCTCTTTCTGGTTGATGTTCTTCTATTTATATCTTTTCTTTCATGGGCCTCGGGATTAGGTCCATTTCCAACTCATATTCGGCACATTTTATAATAGACCGACCTTCACTCGGCCCTTTGCCTAATCGGTTATTTGGCCGAATAGGATTGGATTTGAACTTGCGAGCCAATTGCCGAGTGCTTCGAATCTTGACTCTCCGAGATTCGACTATCTGAAATCTCTACGACTCCCTCTTCTCGGCCCCCACAATTGCCCCCCAAGCACTCCACTAACGACAGTTGGCTGGAATGTTTGGCTTCGAACTCGAAGAGTCAGAGCCGAAATTTGGCGGCTGACCGTATTCCAACGCAAATGTCTGTACACACGCTTCCCGGTTATCATTTCAACTTCCCGCCTCTTCGTACATTTCTATTTATTGTGATTTAAAATTTCGACGTCTTTTCAAATGCTTACATGCTTTTAGACGCCCGTTGCTGGATTGCCTTCCGAACTACCTCTGCAACTTCCTACTCTTCTCTATCTCCTTCGCCTCTTGTAAGTTCTCTTCATCTCTGCTTTGTTTTTTGTTTTTTTTAGCTTAGCATAATCCTATTGGTTGGGGGAATGGCGAAACATTTAAAAGATCTCCTCTCACCGGATCAAATTTCTGACTTCCGACGCCATTTTTCCATTCTTGATGATGTCCGTCTGTCATTTGTAGCAGACGGCACCCTCGATATGGAGAGGGTTGATGAAACCACGATTGTCTTCCCTCTTCTATCAATCGCAGAGGGTGGGGTCCGCTTTCCCCTTCACCCACTCCTTAGGGCCATGCTTTGCCATTGGGGGTTAATCCCTTCCCAACCCAACGTCAACTTCTATAGGATCGTGATGGGAATTATCGCACTAAACCGCCGCCTTAGGCTTAACCTTGGCATTCCCGCTATTCGGCATTGCTACGCCTTGGCCAAGTCTTTTGGTCGGCACAGGCGTTATTTCCTTAGGGCAAAAGACACCGACCATCAACTAGTGACTATGCTTTCCAACTCTGGAAAGCGAGTCGATGATGTTATGGTCGTCATCCAAGGAAACTGGGAATTCGGCGAAGGTGAGGATCGCCTTGATCGTATTCCTAGACGGAGGGGCGAACCAGGTGGCCGAGTATCTTCTTTTATTTATTTACTTGTTATATTTATAAAACTTTATTTTCGGGACCTCATGGTTTTCCTTTTGCAGGAAACGATTTGAAGAAAGTCTTGATCTCGACCGACGACGCTGTCCTTTCAGAAATCAAGACTGCACTCAAGTATTTTGGCCGACCGAGTCTTCAGAAGTAGGGGAAGGCAGCCCACGTTCTGCTCTACTACGAGCCGACTTATACGACCTTTTCAGCGGCGAAAAACATCCCAATTTCAGAGGGTGAGGAGTCTCTTATCGCCCTTATCTTGACTGATTTCAGAAATTTGAGGCAAGTCGATTGCGAGGGATTAGATTAGGAGCGATCGGAAGTAGTTAAGGCCGCCGAGTCAGACCAATCCGAAACTGAGGTTGACAAGGCTTTGAAGTTAGCATTTGAAGAAGCCGGCCTCAATTCGGTTGATCCTTCGTCTACTTCGGGTTGAGAAGACCGTCCGCTCGACGATATTTTTCACGGTGTGGAGGACCTTCTCCGAGCGTTCCCAGAAGATATGGCTGGGTTGAGCCTCACTAAACTTGCCAATAAGGCAAACGCGGAAATGATGGCCACGCGGCGAAAGGCGAAGGAGATTCGGGCTGCCGAGTCTCAGTTCCAGACCTCCTTGCCTGTTATTGAGGGGACGGCAAAGAACGGAAGTACCGAGGCAGAACCTTTTGTGCAGGCAAGTGTAGAAGCTGAGCAAAGGGTGGAGAAACGCCCTGCCGACGTCGACGCCGGCTCAGAAGAAGACCGTGCCAACAAACGACCTCGTTTGGAGGAGTCGGATGTGATTGTACCTTTTGTTATTCAGCCCAAGATAAAAAAATACGCCGATCTCCTTCGATGCTTCGGTAATCAAAGATCCAGCGGTTGCACTAATCTTGGCGACATTCGTTTCACTGCCTGCTGACAAGGCAGCTTTTCGGGCAGAGCCTGATCTGGTTGCAATTGGGTTGGCCGCGCAATCGGCTCTTTTGGTATATATCTGGACTTTGTCTTTTCTCTTTACGCAAATATTATTTTGTTTTTAACTTCCTATTTTGCAGGCAATCGGAATGATAGTTGACATGGGCCGTCACTATCATGATGCCGTCGAGCTAATTGGTCGTTTACAAGCGGAGGTTGAGGGCCAAAGGAGTAAGGCGCAGACGGAAGGCGCCTGTGCCGAGGCCGAGATGGAGAGGGCCCGCAATGCTGAAGAATTGAGATCAGTTGTCGAGAAGAGGGCAGATGCGAGCGACGACATGCTTAAATTGGCCCAGGAGGCGATCTCTAAATTGAAGGCTGGGTTGGAAGAGATGAAGGCGGCGAAGGAAACAGCCGACCTGAAGGCTTGCAGCGCATTCGATGCTGGGAAAAAATCTGCTTTTGATGAATATGTAGACGAAGTCCCCAAATTTGAGAATCGAGGGTTTAAACACGGCTGGCTCAAAGCCCTTGCTACTGCTGATGTGACATTGGCTACGCCAATTCTATACGAGCAAGTGGATGTTGAGCTGCTGGAGTCTGACTCCGAGGGCTAATTTAGGCGGCTCTTGTTTTTATTTTAGGATTTGCATGTAATTTTCAGCGTTTTACAGCTTTTTGTTTAGTAATTTTCATATGTAAAATGGTTACAATTTGTGCCCAATTTACTTAATGAAAATTCATTTTGTACTAATGAACGGAATTATTTGGTTGCTGTTTTGGATAAAACGTTTTGTATACTTGCCGACTAAATGATTAGGCCGTTTAGATAGTTAGGTCGTTTAAAAAGTCAAAAATCAATACATGAAGTGGCTGTGGCACATATCAATTGGCATGGGGCCAAGATGCTCGGTCGGTTAGATTAATAAATCTGCCCTTGCCCCATTCAGTGCATGGACTTCAAGGCATTCGCCCATAATTACCGTTTAGATAATTAGGCCGTTTTAACAAGCCAAAAATTAGTGCATGAAGTGGCTGTGGCACATATCAATCGGCATAGGGCCAAGATGCTCGGCCAGTTAGATTAATAAATCTGCTCTTACCCCAGTCAGTGCATGGACTTTAAGGCATTCTCCCATTATTGCCATTTAGATAATTAGGTCATTTTAACAAGCTGAAAATTAGTGCATGAAGTGGCTGTGGCACATATCAATCGGCATGGGGCCAAGATGCTCGACCGATTAGATTAATAAATCTGCCTTTGCCCCAGTCAGTGCATGGACTTCAAGGCATTTGCCCATAATTGCCGTTTAGATAATTAGGCCGTTTTAACAAGCTAAAAATTAGTGCATGAAGTGGCTGTGGCACATATCAATCGGCATGGGACCAAGATGCTCGGTCGGTTAGATTAATAAATCTGCCCTTGCCCCAGTCAGTGCATGGACTTCAAGGCATTCTCCCATTATTGTCGTTTAGATAATTAGGCCGTTTTAACAAGCCAAAAATTAGTGCATGAAGTGGCTGTGGCACATATCAATCGGTATAGGGCCAAGATGCTCGGCCGGTTAGATTAATAAATCTGTCCTTACCCCAGTCAGTGCATGGACTTCAAGGCATTCGCTCATAATTGCCGTTTAGATAATTAGGCCGTTTTAACAAGCCAAAAATTAGTGCATGAAGTGGCTGTGGCACATATCAATCGGCATGGGGCCAAGATGCTCGGCCGATTAGATTAATAAATCTACCCTTGCCCCAGTCAGTGCATGGGCTTCAAGGCATTCTCTCATTATTGCCGTTTAGATAATTAGGCCGTTTTAACAAGCCAAAAATTAGTGCATGAAGTGGCTGTGGCCCAAATCAATCGGTATCCGTTGTTTGGAAACTGCCAAAAGTGTTAATGAAATTGCCTCAGGGTCGCTGCATACCTACGAATAAATGGAGTGAGTTCGCGCCAGTGGGTCCACTTATTCTTAATCAGACTGGATTTGAACTAGCTTGGGGCGGGGGCGAATGTCAAACAGACTGTTCTTCAACAGCAGAGGAGAGGGACGAACGCTGGCTGAGCTAGATACTGCGATGAATCGCAGCAGCGATCCTGCCCGTACGGGAGGAAGGACGTCCAAGGAAGGCGAAAAACGTCAACCTTCAAGCCACCGAAGCAGATCACCCCAAAGAGAGAAGTATCAACGGGGAAGCTCCCCCCGACCACGACTGAGGAATGAGTCAGACACGACGCCAGGACCATTGAGTTTTGCGGTGTTCGTGGGGAATAAACCGATGACTAAGGCAGATTCCATCGTCAATGATCCGGGTGTAGCGGTCGAGTTTACTCGACAGATCTTTCCACCGGAAGTCCAACAATCGATGGTTGGACGACGAGATTTCGAAGTGTTTCGAGAAGGTATTCATGGAATGGTGAAGGGGCTGTACACCGCCTACGAAGTCGGCATGCGTCTGCGTGCCGCGCGACGGGAAATGGAGAAAATGGGCGAATGGGTCCGCAGTTCGGAGGCTCGTGCGGAAAAGGCCGAGGGCGAGCTTAGGGATCTTAGGAAGGTTAAAGTCTCCGATCCGCATGCGGCGGGTCAGTCTAACCCGACCCAACGGCTATTGAGTCATGCCATCGCCGACCGAGATACAGCAGGCATGTTTGTCGTCGCAAATGCGAGGGCCAAGGGTTATGAACAGGGTTTCCATGATGGCCGGAAGGTTGGGATCGACAAAACGAAAGAGACACTTGCTGAGGAGGTCTGTCGATGCGAGAATCGCAGTTTTAAGCATGGTTGGATCGCGGCTCTTCAGGCCGCGGAGGCTCTCCGAGCGAAGGGTGTCGATTTCAACTTATGTGGCTTGGATCATTGTGATATTTGCTGTCATGACCCAAACCCGCCCCTATAGGTTTAGCATCGTAACCGGCCAGTAATCCTTGAATTACCGAAGGCCACTGAACAAATTAGCAAAAATAAAGGGGCTAGCGGAAGCAAATACATAAATATAATTGTCCAATGAGCTGTGCTGACTTATATGAAACAGAATATTTAAAAGTTTATATACATATCTGATAGTCAACCATACATTTTACCCACACACATTACAGTATCTTAAGTACAGCCAACGACATCAAATCAAGTCTTATATAGACAGAAACCACAGAACTTGAACACAGGACGCTTCGGGAACCTCCACGTGAGGCACAATGGTTAGCTGACAACAGAAACACAGTTCCAGACAAAAGCCTTCGGGCTCGATCTCCAAAATGCTCACCTATACATATATACATATATATACAAACAGTGAGCTAAAGCTCAGTGAATAACATTAAGGTAAAGGGGTTAGTGAACGAAATCCGAATATATCATAAGCAGAAAACAGATCATAGCATAATCATCCTCATATCATAACATAATAATGGTACATCTCGTAGAACACATCTCAAAACGTCTTCCGACTAGAATAATCGGTTCCGGATACCGATTAAACACAAATCACCACAATGAAGTGGCTAATGAGATCTCGTAATTACTTGTATGTCATGGACCCACATTTTCATGCCGTCCCCCATGACTTGGGACTATCTATGGATGCCATAATAGATTTCAAACTTGGGATGTTCGTTCACGTAAACAGAGATCATTTCAGAAATCATAGCTTATCACATTTCATTTGGAGCATAATTCATATCGACATATCTTTACGGAAATATTACTCACAGTGGTTCTAGCAATGGTCAACCAACCCTCGAGTCTTGATCTACAGTCACAAAATACATAACACAAGCATGCCTTATCATTACACATTCAAGAGGTTATTAAGGCTAGCTTTTATTACATTGATTCTTAACCTTTCTTATCACAATGCCTAACACACACACACTTGCAGTCTCAGAACTTAGCACATTCTTTTCTTAGTGTGTTTCTAATCCATAACCTCATTATCAAAGCTTAATTAAGGCTTAGAAATGCCTAAGATCCAATGAGGATGCCAAACATGCCTTGGAACACTTAGGAAAATTTCAGAAAATAAGGTCCACGCTCGAGCGTGGCTTCCCCCGCTCGAGCGGACACGCAGACAAAGAAGTTCCGCTCGAGCGTGGACTTCCCCGCTCGAGCGGATTGCAAACTTATGAAAAAGTGCTGGATGCATGAAATTCACGCTCGACGGGCGCTCGACCCCCGCTCGAGCGTGTGACACAGACCCTCTCTCGAGCATGCATTCCCCCGCTCGAGCAGACTGTAAAACGTATGAAAGTGCTGGAAACACGCATTTCACGCTCGAGCGTCACTTCCCCCGCTCGAGCGTGAGTCCAAAATCTGAAAATTCCAGATTGAACCTTCAAGCTCAAAATCAACTTTAAATGTTCCAAATTCGATCCTTTTGGGCTAATTTTCTGGAAAACACTTGTAAACTCATAGTATGACATGTTTCAAAGATCAATTTGAGAAATCAAAACCCAAAGGTAGTTCAATTGAACACAAATTTCAAGGAGCTTTTATGAACAAGACTCGAATGTAACATGCATGAGCTTGAACAAATTTAAAGCTTCAAACACAAGATCAAATGAGCCAATCCTTTCAAAAACATGAGGAATTCATGAACTAGAACCATAATATGAACATGCATCTGGGAGTTTTCGTAAAAACAACTTCAAAACTCTATAACATGTACATGCATGCATGAATTCCTACTCAATTCAACATATTAAGCTAATTCTTGACTCTACCCTTCAATATATCATGAACCATGCAAGAACTAACTTAAACAGAAGTTCAAGAAGATGGTTCCTCTACCTTATGCCTTGAATTCAAGATGTGGAAGCTCAATTATGCAAATTTCCTTCAAGTCTCTTAATCTCCAAGCCAAAACAAGATGAAATCAAGCTTTCCTCCCATCTCTCTCTCTCTAGTCGGTTTAGGCTCAAGAAATGGCTGAACAAAGTGCTAGAAATAAAGCTCAAATGTGTTTCATGAAGTGGGCCACTAAGTGGCAAAATAGTTATTAAGGCCAACTATTGTAACTTAGCTTATTTAATCCAATTTAGTCATTCCAAATCGAATTTTAATTAAATCTACCATAAAATCACATATATTCTAATTAGCATAAAACATTAATCGATTTCAAATTCGGCCGCCGATAAGGCTTTCAATTTACATATTAAAGTGGAATTCTAAACAGATATTTCTATAAGTAACAGATAGAAAGCCAAAATCATGGAAAACACAAAATAAACACACAAGTTATTTTAATTCTCTCATTAGCATTGTTAAATATGGATTAGTAGCTAATTACGAATCGGGGTTGTTACATTTGCCCTTTTCCGCCTTTGAGGTTGAAAAGAGCGATGATGAGGGAGACGCCGAATAAAAATATTCGTTATAAATGTTCAAATGCGGATTGCGTCTAAGATTATGTAATTATTGGTTGGTCGAATGAAAAAGCATTTTATTTTCAATGTTTTGTTATAAGTTTTGTTCGGCACACACGTGATTATATGTGTTTTATTATATAAATGTTTGAATAAACGTATTTCAAACGACTGTATGGACATTGTTCAGCCTGATTTAATCGACATTGTGTTACACACGACCCGAAGGGTTCATCGGCCCAAAGACGTCAATCGCGATATCCACGAAGGGCGTTCCAAATCCAGAGGCTTGATCGGTCCAAAGACATCATTCACTGATGGGGCTTCGAATCCAGAGACTTTAATTGGCCACTCGTGAAATCCACGAAGGGCGCTCCGAATCCGGAGTTTTGATCGGCCCAAAGACGTCATTCGCTGATGGGGCTCAGAATCCGGAGACTTTAATTAGCCACTCGTGATATCCACGAAGGGCGCTCCGAATCCGGATGCTTGATCGGCCCAAAGACGTTATTCGTCGATGGGGCTCCGAATCTGGAGACTTTAATTGGCCACTCGTGAT